TCCTGACACGATGTCAACTGTTCACAATGACTGGGCTCTGATGGAGTAATCTGGGATGATATGGGACAGTCGACAATAATTCTTTATATTCACACTACCTGTTCCCGCGACTTCGTCCGCGTGGAATTTAACTTTATTTTATAAACTATTTTGTTCGTCTTAATTTATTCGTTCCATTAGGTACTGATAGGTTCAAACTAATATATTTACATCCTGCATCATCCCTTATTTTATCGCAATGGGGGTTGAATTTATCAAAATCCTATTTAAGCGAAAGTCTTCATCATAATAGCTCCAATCTTTCAGTTCAGTCAGTCGAAAATCTAAGAGATACGGCTTGTTAAATCACAGCCGTATCTAGACATATATGTGATCTGTGGTAAACTATGGTTTAAAAAACTAGTTTACTGTCTCAAGGATAATCAGTCAACGCAAGTACCGTCACCATGACACTGCATTTAACGTTTCAATATAGCTGAAATTTGAAAATGTCTTCAGTATTCTGTTATCTGGACAATTTACACAGCGCCATCTAGTACCAAGCTAAGAATAGTTTATATTATCTGTACCTAGTAGTAGTGGAGTGTCTGTTTGTAATATTGAATTAATCCTTTTTACTACATGCACAAAAATTAATATAAATACCGTACATATACCAATATAACAATTTTTATCTGTCTGTCTGTCTATTTATTCTGGCTAATCACTGAAATGACTGGTTCGATTTTAACGCGACTTTTTTTGGCAGGTAGCTGATATCACAAGGAGTAACGTAGGCTATTTTTATTTTAGAAAAATAAAGTTGAATTCCACGCGGAAGAAGTCGCGGGAATAGCTAGTATAATATATAATGATAGGATGAGGGGATTGTACCATGGTACCATGTTAGATCTACTTACACGCCATATATTTGACATTATTTTAGTTTTTGTTAATTTCATTCTTAGAGACGCCTTATCACTTTCCTCCGCTAGCTGTTGTAACATTGTTTGTAAGCTTTCCGGAGTGAAAATAAAAGAAAGTCATATGCAAAACGCAGGCTGTGATACTTCCAATATATTTTTATCTCATTTGGTACATACAAACAATTTTTGAATCAACAATCACTCTATTCTCCCAAAATTGAATTTAAAAATGAATCTGCATTATTGTAAACATGTACAACATTTATTTGAAAAGAAGAAGCTGAGTTTCTTGTCAGGTCTAATCTCGAAATCATTCCGAACTGACGGTAGATTTGACATATCACAAGAGTCTGTAAGACTTACATGAATAAAGATATTTTGAATTTGAATTTATATAGGTATATGTCTATTGGACGGCGCGCATGTGGAAACACTTTTAAGAAATAAAAAAACAAATCACATATCATAAGAGTCTGTAAGACCTACATGAATAAAGATATTTTGAATTTGAATTTATATAGGTATCTGTCTATTGGACGCCGCGCATGTGTAAACACTTTTATGAAATAAAAAAAATAATCACATATCATAAGAGTCTGTAAGACCTACATGAATAAAGATATTTTGAATTTGAATTTATATAGGTATCTATTGGACGCCGCCCGTGTGTAAACACTTTTATGAAATAAAAAAAAATAAAGCAAATCGATTTAACAACAAAGTACAGTAGCAGATAAAATTTAATTAGCCGTAAAATGTTATTTCTGCAATATCTAATTGAAAACCTCTGTATTAAAAATAATCTACGATGTCTTGTGTAAGAGATAATAATAACTGGCAGTCGTAAAAATGTCGGGGCGAAACAATTTTGTCAGGGCAGGCGTTTTTACTTATTTTTTAACACAATATCACCAGAATTATGGTAATTTCGGGACATTCCCCCTTTATGGCTTTGGAAAAAGTTGATCCGGTAAGTGGCCGACTCTGTTCAACGAATATAATTACAGTTCTAATGTTTCTAGTTATGTTCACGCTATGTGATGGAGGTCTAAAGGGTGGATCGTTTAGAAAAAGTCAATAGGTCTTTTATGGGAATAGGTATAAAAATTTACAATAAGATACCAAAGGATATGTTGGAATTACCATTAAATAAATTCAAAACATCTGTTAAATCATATTTACTGAGCAAGGCCTATTACTCACTAAACGATTACTTGAATGACGAGCGTGCATGGCAATAGTTTTCATGTTCGGGATTTTCATTTAATGTTAGACATAGACACCTACATATATAAATGCATTGTAAATAAACTGGATTTAAAAAAAAAAGTAATTCAATTGAGTTTCTTGCCAGTTCTTCTCAATTGGATCTATATACCGAACTGGACGGTAGGGAAAAAAAATTATAATGTAAAACTTGACGTTCATAAGCGGCTAAAATGTTCTACATGAATAAATGATTTTTGAATTTTGAATTTAGAATTTTGGATAGAGGTATAGTACGTTAAAAAATAGTTGATCAATCATTTCTTCTCATTGAAAGATTATTTTATATGCAAAATAGATGACGTTATATGAATTGTTATTGTTAATATTATAATAATCTTCATTACATAACCTGATCTTAATTAATATGAATATTAAAAAGTTTTTTTTAATTGTCGAATGTAGTTATATAAACGTATTTATTTAAAACAAACTCAAATTTAAACACTTCTGTATAGTCATACAGTCATATGTAGAATATTGCAATGTTTAATTTGTTTTAATTGTAATAAATAAAATATTTAGAATATATTATACGCAGACTTTAATAATGACGCCATGGAATATTCGAGAAGCAAAGCAAGCGAAGCAAAATTGTATATAAAATAACATGGATGTTCTGTGCCTGACGTTACAAATTTGAATTTTTATAATTTTATTTTTAAATATATTAAATGGCTATTTGCGATCTCTTAACACATACTTTTCTTTTAATTGTAATAAATAAAATATTTTGAATATATTATACGCAGACTTTAATAATGACGCCATGGAATATTCGAGAAGCAAAGCAAGCGAAGCAAAATTGTATATAAAATAACATGGATGTTCTGTGCCTGACGTTACAAATTTGAATTTTTATAATTTTATTTTTAAATATATTAAATGGCTATTTGCGATCTCGAACACATACTTTTTTTTTAATTGTAATAAATAAAATATTTAGAATATATTATACGCAGACTTTAATAATGACGCCATGGAATATTCGAGAAGCAAAGCAAGCGAAGCAAAATTGTATATAAAATAACATCGATATTCTGTGCCTGACGTTACAAATTTGAATTTTTATAATTTTATTTTTAAATATATTAAATGGCTATTTGCGATCTCGAACACATACTTTTCTTTTAATTGTAATAAATAAAATATTTAGAATATATTATACGCAGACTTTAATAATGACGCCATGGAATATTCGAGAAGCAAAGCAAGCGAAGCAAAATTGTATATAAAATAACATGGATGTTCTGTGCCTGACGTTACAAATTTGAATTTTTATAATATTATCTTTAAATATATTAAATGGCTATTTGCGATCTCGAACACATACTTTTCTTTTAATTGTAATAAATAAAATATTTAGAATATATTATACGCAGACTTTAATAATGACGCCATGGAATATTCGAGAAGCAAAGCAAGCGAAGCAAAATTGTATATAAAATAACATCGATGTTCTGTGCCTGACGTTACAAATTTGAATTTTTATAATTTTATTTTTAAATATATTAAATGGCTATTTGCGATCTCGAACACATACTTTTCTTTTAATTGTAATAAATAAAATATTTAGAATATATTATATGCAGACCTTAATAATGACGCCATGGAATATTCGAGAAGCAAAGCAAGCGAAGCAAAATTGTATATAAAATAACATGGATGTTCTGTGCCTGACGTTACAAATTTGAATTTTTATAATTTTATTTTTAAATATATTAAATGGCTATTTGCGATCTCGAACACATACTTTTTTTTTAATTGTAATAAATAAAATATTTTTAATATATTATACGCAGATTTTAATAATGACGCCACGGAATGTTCTAGAAGGAGTATCGGAACAGTATTGGAATTATTGTTGTGAGTAATAAGTGCTGCTGAACTGTGAGTACATTATACCTACTTAATTATAGAAGAATACAGATTTATTATAATTATTAATTAATACAAGTACGAAATTTATACTACATAAAATTATTTTATTGGATCCGTTAAACATATTGGTCCTTCGAGCCGGATTATCAATATGTTTAACGGATCCAATAAAATAATTTTATGTAGTATAAATTTCGTACTTGTATTAATTAATAATTATAATAAATCTGTATTCTTCTATAATTAAGTAGGTATAATGTACTCACAGTTCAGCAGCACTTATTACTCACAACAATAATTCCAATACTGTTCCGATATCTTTACGGCACAATTACAATGGCGTCGCTATTTACTCTTTACAAAAAAGGTTTACTTTTGTCGTCAGTCCTCGATACTCCGACTCGTAGGACCAATATGTTTAACGGATCCAATAAAATAATACCACTTCCTTTCATCCACTAGTGTTTAATATTAATTAATTTACAAAATAAAAAATGAATTATTAATACGCCATGTTATGGTATCAAACTTTTGTTACAATAATTTTCAAATTTCGAATTTCGAATCATTGCGTAAATAAAAAATTAAAATATACTTAGATGGCCAAGGAGGTTTTATATTCATACTTAATCATACCGCCCACCAAGGACAATATGGCAATATTATCCTTAATTCCGCCCACCATGAGTATATATGGGACCATAACTACATAACAATAATATAATGTAACTTGGAATTATGTTAAATTATCATAAAATATCTTAACAATAGCTAAACAAATAACAATAAAAGTTACAAGTAGTTCAAATCAAAAAGTTTTAGTACACTTATTTAAGACAGTTAAACTATATTACAATATTTATTTAGTCAATGGTAGGAAACAAAGTTTTGAGACAGTCCTTTTTATTATATTATTTTTACATCGTAAACTGACTACTCGAGTAATACCGTCCAATCCAGGATGCTTTTGAACAACAATACCATAAAGCCATTTTGCAGGAGGAAGATCACTCTCCATTACTAACACAATATCACCTATTGAAGGTTCTGGTGTCTTATGAATCCATTTGTAGCGATGATGAAACTGAGTTAAATATTCACGAGACCATCGTCTCCAGAAATCTTGAACTAATCTCTGAGTAAATTGCCATCTTTTTAACATAGTAATTGATGATTTTTCATAATTAGCATCTGCAGGAAGCAACAAAGGCTCCATTACTAAGAAATGTCCAGGTGTTAGCGGCATCGGATCTTCTATGTTATTAGTAATTTGAGAGATTGGTCTAGAATTGAGGCATGCCTCAATTTGTGTCAGGACAGTGGCCATCTCTTCATATGTCAGTGTTGTGTTGCCGATAATTCTTCTTAAATGATGTTTTGTAGACCTTACTCCTGATTCCCATAACCCTCCAAAGTGAGGGGTATGCGGAAGGATAAAGTGCCAATTGGTTCCATTGTTGGCCAATGCATTTGCAATTTCACTTGTCATAGATGACATTTCCTTGCCATACAGTGTCTTTAGTTCCCGTGATGCCCCAACAAAATTCGTACCATTATCGCTCCACACATCAGCACAATGACCGCGACGAGACACAAAACGTTTGAAAGCAGCTAGAAATCCTTCTGTCGATAAATCGCTCACTGCTTCCAAGTGTATTGCTCTAGTAGACATACATATAAATAAGCATATGTAGCCCTTATAAGAACGATGTCCTCTACCTTTAGAAACACGAAGATTGATTGGACCCGCATAATCTACACCACTTTGATAAAAAGCACGATTGACTGCAGTACGACTTGATGGTAATTGTCCCATGAAAGGATTTTTAATTCGACTTGAAAATCTCACACAACGTACACATTTATGAACATACTGTTTAATTAATCTTTTGGCACCCATAATCCAGAATTTTGAGCGTAAATAATTGAGCATCAACTGAGGACCTCCGTGTAAAGTTTTTTCATGAGTATCTCTCAACAATAATTCGGTAAAATGCGATTTTTGTGGTATAATGTAAGGATGTTTTATATCTTCACTAATCTTAGTACACTGCAACCGACCTCCTACTCTTAAAATTCCTTCTGAATCAATCCATGGACTCAAAGAGGTAAGTACACTTTTTTTATTAATCTTTCCCTTTTCTTTCAGATTTTTCAATTCATCGTAAAGGTAAGTCTCCTGAATTATTTTTATGCATGTTTTTAAACTAATTTCCTTTTCAGTTCTTGATATAAATTCTATTAACACATTTTGTTTACGACAACGATATAAAAATCTTCTACATAGTGCAACAACACGCAACAATCTATTCAATGAAGAAAATCGCAGTATCATTTCATTTTCAACTCTGTTTTCATTTTTATTTGTACAAATATGTGTTAAATGTGTTTTCATCTTCTTTTCTTCTAAATTAGTTTCTCCTACAGGTCTATCAAAATTTATAATTTTATCTTTTAGCCAAGAGGGACCATATTTCCACAGACCTTGATTTTCTAAATCCATCACACCACGAGATGCGCAATCAGCAGGATTATACTTTGAACTAACATGAGCCCATTGACTTGGTTCCAATGAAGTGATTATCTCTGATACACGATTCGCTACAAATGTTTTCCACCTAGTAGGTCTGCTATTAAGCCATGCTAGTACGATGGTTGAATCCGTCCAAGCATATGTGTTTGTCTTATTTAACTTCATAATCTCTGCTACTTCAATTAGTAGACGTGTTAGAAGCACTGCTCCACACAATTCTAAACGCGGAATAGAAATTTGTTTTAAGGGCGCTACTTTGGTTTTTGATGCAATTAACATAACTTTTATTTCACCTTGTCTATTGACTACACGCAGGTATACTACAGCTGCATATGCTTCATTGGATGCGTCGCAGAAACCATGCAGTTCTTGAAGTAGATCATCGCTGTGAGTGTTAATCCATCGTTCAAACTTAATGTCGGTAAGTTTGTGTAGATTTTCTCTGTACAATAGCCACTCATTTAACAGGTGTGTAGGTAATTCATCATCCCAGTTTATACCAGAAAGCCATAATTTTTGAATAAATATTTTTGCTCTGATAACCACTGGAGCTAACCATCCAAGTGGATCAAAAATACGAGAGATGTCAGATATAACATTTCTTTTGGTTACTGGTATCTTCATTTGAGGTAACTGTACAACATATTCGAATTCATCACTACTTCGATTCCAAGTAAGGCCAAGAATTTTCATTATACTATCTACATTTAACTGTATATTTCCTTTCAAAGCTATATTTTCTTCACTAATTTCTTTCAATAATTCTTCACTGTTACTACTCCATTTCTGTAATTCAAATCCTCCTCGCTGTAATAATTCATTCATCTGCTTATAGATTTGTTTGCCTTCTTCGACAGATTCACAACCAGTTAGCATATCATCCATATAAAAATGATTTAGAACTCTTTCTGTAGCTAGAGGATAATTAGCGCCATCATCATATGCTACTTGATGTAAACATCGAACAGCAAGATAAGGTGCGCATGCTGTACCAAAAGTTACTCGTAGTAGTTTTAGATGCTTTAAATCACTTTCCGGATCATCGCGCCAGACTAAACGTTGAAAATTAGTGTGTTTTTTCTCCACCTTTATTTGTCTATACATTTTTACTATGTCAGATACAAGACATATTGGATAATAACGCCAACGCATTAAGAGATGACGCAATTCTGGCTGAAGAGTTGGCCCAATTAATAAATCTTGATTTAATGAGATGCCATTGGTACCAGGACAACTCGCATCGAAGACAACTCTTACCTTTGTGGTAGTTCTATTTTCCCGCACTACTGCTTGGTGTGGTAAATAGACTGCTTCAGGATCGTTATATTGATCTATAGGTATTTCCTCCATATGTCCTAACTCTATATATTCTGATATAACATCAGCATATTTCATTTTTAAATCAGAATCTCTCAGTAATCTTTTTTCCAGATACAAAAACCTTTTTATTGCTATATCTTTAGAATTTCCATATTTACAACTAGGATCATCACTACGGAAAGGCAGATTTACTATGTATCTACCTGAATCATCGCGCTTCGTAGTGTTTGTAAATATCTCCTCACATTTCTTATCTTCGTCAGTTAAATGCTTGTTTGAATCTAAACAAGTATCAGCTTCTAATTCCCAAAATCTCTTTAATAACTCATCTTCATTTACATGAGAAATGTGCATACTTATTGGATTTTTTGTCATTGATGAACCTATATTTACAGAGCCAGAAATTATCCAGCCAAGCGAAGTTCGCTGAGCCATAGGTACACCTGGAGGTCCTTTAATTACACCATCTAACAAAATCTGACTGTAAACATCAGCTCCAAGAAGAATGTCGATTTTGTTTGGTTTCCGAAATGATGGATCTGCTAGTTCTATGTTTGAGAACTCCGACCATAAATCTACAATAATTTGCTTTTCAGGAAGGAATGAAGTTACTTTACTCAAAACAAAAGCCTGTACTTTAAATGTAAAGTTGGAATCAAGAAGTGACTGTAGTGTAACCGAAACCATAGACTTAGAGGTCAACGAATGACCTTGATCACTCCCTAATCCTGTAATAATGCTTTTGTGTGGTACCTTCCTTATATTAAGCAATTGTACTGCAGATTCTGTAATAAAACTAGCTTGAGAACCTGGATCTATTAAACACCGAAGTGTGATACCATTACCTGATTTCGACTGTGCGCTTACTAATGCTGTTGCAAGTAATACTTGACAGTTTGAGGTCGAAAAACAGGCTGTGACACTAGTGGCTTCATCTTGAGACGATGATGATGTGGACGCGTGTGCTACGACGTCTTGTTCAACCGATTGATTAGCAATACCTGTAGTGTCGGTTGAATTATGATTGGTAATATTTTTTGGATGTAGCAACGAATGATGCTTCCGCCTGCATAAACGACAACGAGAAATCTGACGACATGCAAATACCGAGTGCCCTAAACCTAAACAATTAAAACATAAACCCTGAGATTGAACGAAATTACGTCTAGTATCTGTTTCATCATTAGAGAACTTTTTACAATGTGACAAACGATGATTTTCAGAACAGTAAGGACAAATAAGTGTGGCTGTATGATATACTTTAGGATTACTATGAACAATATTACTCTTATGTACTACATTGGACTTAGACAATTTTGGATCTATAAACTCAAATGCTCTAAATCTAGTTTCTATGAAGGCTTGAAATTGTTTCAAAGTAGGTAACTCTTCAGAGAACTCGCTGATTTTTAACTCCCATTGTTTCCGAGATTCTCCGTCTAGTTTTTGGCATAATATATAAATTACAAGCACATCCCATGTACTAGTGTCTATACCCAAATTGTTAAGACCATGAAGACATTCATTAGTAGTGTCTAGCAACTCTTTTAATGCACTGGCTGACTCAGTACCGATGATTTTCTGACTCATAAATCGTTTCATAATACAGTTCGATAAATATTTTTTGTTGTTATATCTTCTCTCCAACTGTTCCCAACAATTTTTATAATTATCATGCGTGATCGGTACATGTCGAAGCAGTTGCTCAGCTTCCCCAATTAATAATCCCTTTAGGTAGTGTAATTTTTGTACTTCATCTAAACGTTTATTGTTGTGTACTAAAGATATAAAGAGGTCTTTGAAGCTAAACCATTCAGAATACTTGCCCGAAAATGGTAAAATAGAAATTTTAGGTAAATTAAAACTACAATCAATATCTTTACTGTCATTATTTTGTCCGGAACAACTTGCATTTTCAATACTATTCTGCTTTAATTTACTCAAACATTCTTTTAGTAGAAATTTATACTCTATATACAACTCTTCAGTGGACTCATAGATGCTATTACTGACATAAGAGCTAGAATTTAAAACTTTTGTGTCTGTACTTTCAATAAGTTGTATATGTTTTGAAGTAAAAGTTTGCCATAATTCTTCTAAAGCTTCTAATCTAGTGTTAATATAATCCAAAGAACGAAGTCTCTCCTTTGGTGACTTTTTAAAATTAGACTTTGCTTTGTTAATTCTCTCATTTAAATCAAGTTGTACTTTTATATATGAATCCATTGCAAATGTAAGAAAGTCACAAAATAATTTTATGTAGTATAAATTTCGTACTTGTATTAATTAATAATTATAATAAATCTGTATTCTTCTATAATTAAGTAGGTATAATGTACTCACAGTTCAGCAGCACTTATTACTCACAACAATAATTCCAATACTGTTCCGATATCTTTACGGCACAATTACAATGGCGTCGCTATTTACTCTTTACAAAAAAGGTTTACTTTTGTCGTCAGTCCTCGATACTCCGACTCGTAGGACCAATATGTTTAACGGATCCAATAAAATAATACCACTTCCTTTCATCCACTAGTGTTTAATATTAATTAATTTACAAAATAAAAAATGAATTATTAATACGCCATGTTATGGTATCAAACTTTTGTTACAATAATTTTCAAATTTCGAATTTCGAATCATTGCGTAAATAAAAATTAAAATATACTTAGATGGCCAAGGAGGTTTTATATTCATACTTAATCAAGGAGTGCAAAATTGTATATAAAATAACATGGATGTTCTGTGCCTGACGTTACAAATTTGAATTTTTATAATTTTATTTTTAAATATATTAAATGGCTATTTGCGATCTCGAACACATACTTTTTTTTTAATCTACATCTCATTCGGAAAGCTGTCTCATCACAAGAAGAATGATCATGATGATCAAGAACGAGCATGACACTTATGTGTTGATTTTTAAATAATCGTAACTTTACATTTTTAAGTTGTAATACGTGAATACAAACTACCAACTAGCACTCATTTATTATAGGCAAAATATTGAATACACAATCAACTGGTTCCAATTATTCATTAGTTAACTAAACACAGTTCAGAAATTGAAGAAATATGAACATTCTCGTGTTATCAAAACAATGTTTGTAGACAGAACACTTCAGCAATTTAATGGGAAATTGAGAATTTCTTCTTTAGCGATTAAATGAACGTCTCTTTCCACTAAATGATTCATTTTGTGAAATAATAGAACCAGAATGGAATCATATAGATTCATTTAACATTATCGTACTCTTCAGTCATACTCGTGAACGGGTGCTGCTTGTGGGGACTGGTCTGTTTGGGTTACGAACTTAGACTATTTGATTTTGCAATAGCATATGCTGGTGGTTACTCTATTCTCCTATAAATTAGAATTTAAAAATGAATCTGTATTATTGTAAACATGTACAACATTTATTTGAGCTGAGTTTCTTGTCAGTTCTTCTAATCTTAAAATCATTCCAAACTGACGGTAGATTTGACATATCATAAGAGTCTGTAATAGACCTACATGAATAAAGCTATATTGAATTTGAATTTCAATTAATTTTGACGGCCTCGCTAGTCTTGCGGTTTTGTTCACTGTCTAACTTCCTAAGGTCGCGGTTCGATTCTTCACAAGATTCAAATATTTGTATTCCTGATTATTATTGATTTTTTTATACTACGACGGTGGTAAATGGTTACCGTGGCCTATGGACGCCTGAGACCCTAGGGGTGTCACGTGCGCGTTGCAGATACTTAAGAAACCTTAATATACCCTTCTCGAAAAACTCCAAGCTGTGCTCTCTGAAGAAAACCACGGAAGGTAGTTGTTACGTGCTATTTTTGATGTATATAAGTATCAACGATAGTCATTGACTATCAGAATATTTAATTATTACATGTCAATATAAAAATAAAACATATCGAATTGAAATAACATCTTGATCATCTGGATGAATGGCGGTCTTCCACAGTGCGGTTTTCTAGAAACTTTTTGCCACGCCTAACCACATTATGAAATCATCTTACAGCAATGGTATTTCCGATACGATTTTTTTTTTCATTATATTTGGCACATAACAGTCAATACATATACAAGTAATATAATATAACAATATGTTGATAGAAAAGACCAAACAGTGCCGAAACTTAAACTAAACAAATAAGTAATTATTACAAAACTTGTTGAAAGGATATAAATCTTAGTATACAATATATACAGTTGTCAGTACAGTGTTGTTATATGTGTATGAAAAAATATATGAGAGTGCTTATATATTATTGTGTGTTCGATTTAAAAGTCGTGCAATAACGATATTGAAGCCTTCAAGAAAAGAGCTTATTCCTTCTTAAAAGGCCAACAATGCACTTGCATTTCCCCTGGAGTTGCGAGTGTTCATGGGCGGCGGTAATCACTTACCGTCAGGTGAGCCGCAAGCTCGTTTGTTTTCTATGCTATAAAAAAAAACTCAGGACAAAATTCATACAGCACCATCTATACCCAAGTTAAGCTAGCTAAAGCTTGTCTTATGGGTACTAGATAACTGATACAAATACACAGATATTTTTTTTATTAAATACACACATATTATGTATAGAAAACACCCAGACTATACAAACAATCATACTCATAATTACAAATGTTTGAATCGAACCTGCGACCATCGGACGTAAAACGGTGTGCTAAACCACTACACCACCGAGGTCGTCATATAAAATGCTCATAAGGTACAATTTAGTATACTAACATGGCCAATAAAAGTAGATTTTTTCTTTTATACGACCCATTGTCAATACTAAAAGGAATTTTATAGTCTCTAATTAAAATATAAAGTCCACAAAGAGTTACATAAAAAATCAGAATCACTCTATCTATTAAGAAAACCGCTTCAAAATTCGTTACGTAGTTTGAAAGATTTAAACATAGATACAACAGACGGACGGACAGCGACAGCGACATTGTTTTATACTATGTAATGATTTTCTCTTACCTTTAAAGGGTAACCAGATCGAACACTTTGGTAACAATATTTAATAAGGATAACTGACTGTTTGCATTATAATACGTTAATAAGTAGGTGTTTTTTTTATTTTATTACTTAGTAAAGTAAATGTTATAGAATAGAATAGAATAGACTAGAATAGAAAATCATTTATTCAAATAAACTTAATTTAAACATTTTTGAATAGTCAACATTTTTTTAAATCTACCGCTTATAAACTGTCTCATCACAAGAAGAATAAGCAAGAAACTTGTGTGTTTTTTTAAACAATTTTAAGTTCACATTTTACAAGTCGAAACGTGTGAATACAAACTACCAACCAGTTATATACTCACTTATCAGGCAATAAAAGTTAGTAAAAAACAGGTGTAAAATGGAATATGGTACGTGGACTGACAACAGTGAAGATGAATGTGCACGGAACGAGATCAAAAGACGCGAATTGTTACATTCTATCCGAAACAGCATCGGCCTCTGTAATAGTATTCTCAATAACCCATTAATAGAAGAGGCCATCAAAATTATCAATGTAGTCAAAGTTGGCATTAAAGAAATAAATATCACAGTACTTTATTAATTATGTTACAAAAACCATTTTATTTACATAACTTAATTTTACAACTTCATACATAATTTAAGAGCTACGCTCTTGTCGGTGGAGCTCTTGCCACTTTCTGCTATCTTCCATCATGCTCTTTAATTCTTGATGACGATTCTTTAATGAAAATATTGTTAGCATTTAATACCTAAAGAATCTACGCTACAATTTAAATTTATTACTAGTATTTACATAACCTAATTGTACAACTATGAACCTAAAATTAAAAAGCTTAAAAAAAATATAATATGATGACTAAAATATATTATTAAAAGGGGTACCTTTAGGCAACGTTCCGAAGATACTGGCAGCGTTCCCTCTTTGAATAGCTAGACTAATTCTTTATCCAAGGTAGCTGCCAGCTCTTTGGTCTACTGTGATGTCGACTAACCTTTTCGTTATTTCTTTGAAAAGTCTTACAGCGCTAGGACCCCACGGACCAAGGGTCTCGACACCGAATGGGACAAATTCATATTCGGAGCCTAGACCCCTTTACTTACATATTTTGGCTTTTTCAGCCGCTTGACATGCCGCACCAGCTCTGTTGTTAGTTCCATGTAGATGGGATGGGGCCAGCGTGTCTGTACAGGTTGCATCCCATTCTTTAATTGTACAACTAAGAACCTAAAATTAAATAGCTTAAAAAATATAATATAATAACTAAAATCTATTATTGAAATTGTAAATATAATTAATTTAAATAAATTCTCATTCATAAAATTAAATTAAATAGTTGGTGAATTCAAAATTCAATTTCTTTAATCAAGTTCTTTAAATGGCACTATATGTATAGTAATATATGTATGTTCTTGTTTTTTTTTTCTTATTGTTGAATTTTTTTAATAAATTGTATTTTTATCATTAATGGATTACCTTACGAAATACTTGTTGTCAATTAATATGTATTAATTATAACTAAAATATATTTAATTAAGAAATAAATGTATCATAATTTAGATATTATGTATTGTTGCACCGATAGGGGTGACATATTCTCCCGTATAAAGCCTCAATAGTTAAAGGAATAAAAAAAATGGAATAACGTGTGTCGCAGTGTAGACAGGCCATTTCTCGTAAGACAGCAGCTCGCCTTTGTAAGGGCCCTCAATTGAAATACTTTTATCGATCCAAGTTTATCAGAAATCGCAAACTGTGCAGCCCGTATCAGGAACAGGGTCTCGTTGAATTGGTTTTATGTAACTGAATATTTTTAGTTCAGGAAGAACAATATTTTATAACTTTCTTGTTTGAGAGCTGATTGTAGTGAATGGCTACGGTGGTCTAGTATAGCCGCTTTATCTCCCATGGTTGCGGGTTCGATTTCCGTAGGGTACAAATAATTTATTCATGAGTATGATTGTTTGTTTTGGTCTGGGTGTTTTCTATTTATTGTATGTCATATGTGTATGTCATAGAATATAATAGAAAATCGTTTATTCAAATAAAGTTACATTGAAGCACTTTTGAATAGTCATCACATTTTTTTTAATCTACCGCTCATTCGGAAAGCTGTCTCATCACAAGAAGAACGAGCAAGAAACTTGCGTGCTGCTCTTTTAAATAATTTTTTTCTTACTTTACATTTTAAGTTTAAATATGTGAATACAAACTACCGATTAGCACTAATTCAATTA